CTGTGTCGTTAAGGTTAGTGCTGGTCACTTGCTGTGTCGATAAGCACGTGTTTTGTTGTGTCGGTAGCAATTCCCTAGATTTTGTAGGTTACAAGTAATCACGGGAATAAAAAGTACTTTAAAGTGTATGAAATTTTTTTATTCAATTGAAATTTCCATCAGATTTTCTATGTGCCCCGAGCTTTAAGGGGTTTCCCTGACTGATTCATATTTTTAGGTTACCCGTGCAATTAATGTGTTTTAATCATTCTATGAGGAAAAGAACGCGAACAACACGAACAACACGAACGTATTTTGACGAAGTTATCGTTGACGAGTGGTCGTACAAGGGATTTGTAAGCTATGCAGTAAAATTTGGCCTATTTGACGAAAAACGCATTTGCAATTTTAAATACAAGAAGTGTTTAGAGGAAATTGAACGAAGATATAACCATTCAGACAAAAAAAGATTAAAGGCATCTTCATTAAAGAAATCTTTCAAGGTTAGTAAGTTGTTTTTTTTTTTAGAATGGCATAACTATTGCAACACAACTTGATTTTAAATCAAGTCAATACTAGACGGGGTATTCTGCCTGCTACCCTGGGTTTCCTTGGCGTGTTTCAATATGTTCTGCTATATTAAGCAATGTTGTTATTCAGACTTATAAACTGTCGGAATTAGCCCAATTAGACTTAAGGCTAAATAAAAGTACTAGAGTTAAGGCTAGTAACAGCATTGACATTAAGTGAAATTGATACCACGGGGTGCTCTGCGCGCCATCCCGGGTTTCCTCAATACATTTTTAACTGTTTAGATATAATTCTTTTTTTATTTGATACTAACTAATTTATTGCATCTTTTACTTCTACGTTCGAGTTTGACATAAAAATGGAACGAGATCAATTGAATATACTTGATACTTTGATGAGAAATGAGGCGATTGAAGAGGTGAGCACAATATTATTATACAAACATACTGACCTTTTTCATATACTAAATACGTAGATTTAATAATATAGTACGCGTACCAAACTACATTAAATACTCATGTGCGGGAAGAAAAACAATTATTTTCTAGACAACAATTGGAGTCACGGAAACGAAATTGTGTAAATATCAATTTATCTTTACATTTACAATTTTATATTTATTTATTAAATTTTAATTTTAATTTTTATTTAGGATACAGCCTTTCCAGAAAATAATCTTGATTTTGACTCTGATAATCGCAAAATCGGACCCAAGAAGCAAAATATGTAAGTTTCTCTAGATCGTTTTGGGTTGATATTTGTTGATAATGTATCATTCATTTGGATCAAGAAAGCTAGCTAAATGTGCCAAAATAATCGCTTTTAGACCTAACCTAAAGCAAGATCATTCGGACAAAGAAAATAGGGTATAATAGAGCTTTTAACACGAAAAATGTATTTATCTTACAAATTGTTTTGTGGTTCGTTTTTAATAGATTATAATTTTTTTATTTAGGATGACAATAAAGTTTATTCTGATGCATCATATATCTCACATTCCGGAGATGTCAGAGACAGGAATAGTGGTTTGTCCTAATGTTACATTATAATTCATTGTATATTACTTTTTTTTTTTTTACGCGTATTTGATAATTTTGAATCATTTTTACAGCTAATACATATAGAGGAACGAATATCCAGCCTGATCATTCTAATATTATCATGCCCAACGATAATCTTTCAATTGGTGCTTCGGACCTATGTTCTAATTGTCCCGACGAAAACGGTGGTTGCTATGATAGTGATAGCTTGACTAAGAATGTATCAATAGAGATCAACAATCTCATTGCAAAGATGAAAAATGACAATCGCCTTTTTGAATATCGAATCGTTATCTTTCAGAAAAAAATCATACTGATCCGGTAAACCAAGTCTTCACAAGTAATGATAAAAAAACAATGAAAGGCCTTTGGAAAAAGGTATATATTTCCTATTCTATCAACTTTAAATTAAATTAATAATTAATTTAATTATGAATGTTCTTTAGATGGAGCCTTCATCCGATGAAAAACAAAATACATCATTAAAATTAAAGTGGGAAAAAAATATAAAACCTCAAATTCAAAAATACACGCATGCTATTAAAGTAAAAACAGAGTCGATTTTTGATGATAACAATAATGAAACATCGCTGAGAATTATCTTTGAAGCACCCTTTGTGGGCGATTTTAATTATAAAAAACATTATGAGATGATTTGGGCACGGGACATATATCAGCGATTGTAAGTTACCTAAAATCCTATTATTTAATATAATACAACATAATTTATTCTTTTTTTTTTTTCAGCATATGCCTTTTCAACACTCCTTTCAATATTCTTCGCGATTCTGATACATCAGAAATAGCATATAGGGATTCATTCGTGAATCCTATAATCCCAAAGGTGTTTGAAGATGTAAATGATAAGATTAGATTTCAAGTGTACGCAATTATTATCTATAAGGCTCATTTATAAAGTATATATACATACTCAACGCATGTTATTTTTAGCGGGGAGATTGAAAGTAACTTACGCAAGCAACATAGGAATCAGACGAGAGGTATAAAACCTCGTGTTTATCTCGGATCCAAACATGACGGTATCTTAAAAATGTATGTAAACGCTTGTGAGTTAGAGATTGGATTTCTCGAAGTCGTTGGAAGTCCAACAAAAGTCGATGTAAAAGGCTATTACGAAGATCTTGAAAAATTACTAAAAGGTTCATAATCACTTTATTTTTGTTTTATTTTACAAGATTTTAATAAAAAAATTTATAATATTCATTCATTTATTAGTGATGCAAATTTCAATTTATTACCAACGCTGTCATTTTAATCGTAATGCAACAGAAGAAAAGCTACTATGTATTCAAAGCTTCGGAGTCTTGGTTTATTGTATGTGACCTTTTTATTTATCTGGTTAGCCATTCGTTATGACTGATTTTTTTATCATTTTTAGAACGCAAAACAACAATTTATGTGATGCATCGTTCGAGAGGGGGTTTAAATCTTGTGGATGTTTTAACAACATTTACAATTCCTGTATGTGCGGATCAAGCATATGTTCTTGAAGAAATCATAAAGAAAGTTTATTTTTTTAAGGTACAAGTCTTTCTAATTTATTTTTACCGTTTAGCATTGTTTAAGGTAATTTGTAAATAACATATGTATTTATTTATTTTTTTATTGAATATTTGTTTATCTAATTTTATTATTGTTATGTAGAGCAGAATTATGGACTACTATATAAAATTGAAAGACATTTCGCAAGAGGTAGACACATCCGATTCTAATGAAGATGAAGAACTATTACTGGCGTCTTTACCTAATCAATGTAAGACTATATACAAAAAGATTTGCATTTTCTTAACTAGCAATATTACATGTTGCGAGCAACTTTGTGCTTGCTTAAAAAAAAAAATACTCATGGAAGTTTTTTTTATTATACTAGAAAATAGGATCTGGAGCGCCGTTTCAATTCGAATGTTATTATCATGCCTGATATATTAACCAAATTATGATTTAAAGCTATAGTTTTTACTTAACAACTTTGAAAAAAGATATATTAAGGATGTTACATTGTAAATAATATGTTTCTAATTATATTATCATTGGGTATGATAATAAAGAAACCAATACTATGCTCACTCATTTCTTTCAGTGTTAAAAATTCTAACATTGATCTGCACCAATCAAATTCTATTGTAAATTGTAGATATAACAGGTATATGCATGTTTTGTATGTAAATAGAATATGTATAGAAAGTATGTAAAGTTATAAAATTTAGATGTGAATCCCATTTCTTTTAATAGTTAGGTTAGGAAGTTAGTATTATACTTTTTTTGTGCTTAGAGTGGATATATAAAAGCTTGTATTTAAAGAATTTTTTATAAACCATGAATATTTAATAAGCCAATATTTCTTATATTTAGCAATAAGTAGAATGAGTTTATATAATTTTAACAATGAATAGGTTTACGATTTCAATAGTAATTAGATTTGAGATTTAAACGATGGATAGGTTTGTAATTTCAGCAGTGGTTTAATAATAGATGATTTCATGCTTTAGCAATGGGTGTAATAACTAGGGTTGGAGACACGGCATGGCATGCCCGCGTATACTTATTTCTGCAAGTGATACAAATCCAAAAAAGGCAATTTTTATATGTAGATCTACAATCTTTGTGTAATGTGAAATTGAAGGCATTTTCGGTAACTCAAAATTTGGATGAACTATAGAATAGCGTGTACTAATACACTCGATAATCACATTGTGATATCTGGTTCAAAATATGCTGTT